TCGTCCATTCTTTCAGCTGATCCATATTTCCGGATTCAGGAAAGTCTGTAGTTTTTATCATTTCACGATGGACATTGACTTGTTCTCGATTAAAAGCCCTGATCATTTGTGCCAAAAGTGGATCGCTGTTTATTTCTTCAATCGTACTTTCATACCCTGTTGATATTTTGTCTAATTCTAATCGATTTTTTCTGATATTTTCATACTGTCGACGAGCTTCCGATCGGATCAATTCTTCTCGTTTCAGTTGTTCTTCACTCTTCACTTCCGTTTTCGGCCATAACTTTTTCAAAAAATTTTTACTTTTCGTTACCACACCGGTTGGTTGTTTATAATATTTTTCTGGATTTTCATTGAAATCATCCCAGAAACTTGGATCATTTTTCGACTTTGCTTCGATTTGTGATTTGATTTTTTTCTNAATTCTTCTTCTTGTCTTTTTAATTCTGGTTGAAATTTTATCCATTCTAATTCAAATTCTAAATCATCATCTTTTTGAGAAATTTGTTCGTCTATCAGATTGTCGCTTGCTGTCTTTTGCTGGTTCGATTGCTGTTTCATGTTCACAACGCTGACTGGCGGCGTATCTTCTTCAAACGAATTTTTTTGAATTTTTGAATTTGGTTTTTCCGGTTCCAATTCGGTTGTTTTTTGCTCTTCTATCAAGCTATCTTTTAATGACTTCGATACAGATTTTTTCTCTTGACGTTTGCTGGCTTGATCTTCAGTTGAAATTTCAGGCTTTTCTAAATTTTTATCAAGTGAATTTTGATCATTTTGTAACTTTTCAACTGGAATTTTTTTGGCTTGGTCGTTCGTTTGATCATTACTTGTAGGCTTTCCTAATATCTTATTTGACTTTTTATTGAATGGATTTTGTTCATTTCGAAACCTATTCCTGGTTGATTTAAAGTTTTTCGTCCATTCTTTCAGCTGATCCATATTTCCGGATTCAGGAAAGTCTGTAGTTTTTATCATTTCACGATGAGCATTGACTTGTTCTTGATTAAAAGTCCTGATCATTTTTGCCAACAGTGGATCGTCCTTTATTTCTTCAATCGTACTTTCATACCCTGTTGATATTTTGTCCAATTCTAATCGATTATTTTGGATATTTTCAAACTGTCGACGAGCTTCCGATCGGATCAATTCTTCTCTTTTCAGTTGTTCTTCACTCTTCACTTCCGTTTTCG